AATAAAGATCAAATTTATAAAGATACTAAAGGCAATAATAATAATGAAAAAAAAAGAGGTATTCATTTAGATCAGAACTGACTTGGGACAGAGTCGTCAGAATGAAACTCAGTTGTAAGTTGGGGACTACTTGTATATATAAAAAAAGGGGGTGTCCAATCCAACCCAAACTTTATGATTAGAGTAGAAAACACACATACATATGCATCAAAAAGAAAATTAGGAGACAGTCTACCACGATGGCTGACTTCTATGTCTGGGTGGTGAGATTATTAGTGATTTTAATTTTTTATTAATATAGGTAGTCCCAGCTTATGACAGGATTGCATTTTGACAGCTCCATCATAAATTGTTCTGATATAAGTCAATTACCATATTTTTAATTTTTCTAGTTTTTATTATTGCTTTTTATTATGGGTATCTTTACAAATCTGATCTTTATCTGTCATTGGGGATTGGAAACATTACACATAAACTTATAGATATGATGACATCAGCAAATTAGACATGGCAACATTGTATGTAGCACATATTACTAACTATACTCACTCACTGCCGTCGAGTCGGATCCGACTCATAGCAACCCCTCCTTGAGTTTCCGAGGTGGTGTCACTACAGAAGTAGATTCCTTCCTTCCGAGGAATGGCTGGTGGGTTTGAACTGCCAGCCTTCTGGTTAGCAGTCAAGTGCCTTAGGCACTACACCACCAGAGCTCCTATTACTAACAACAGACGTACAAAAAAGAAAAACAAAGCAGATGCTCATAAGAGTGGATCATTGTAACTTAAATACATCATAAATTGGGGACTACCTGTAATACAGGACCTCTGGTGGTACAATGGTTCAAGCATTCAGCTGCTAACCAAGAGGTTGGCAGTTTTAACCTACCAGCCGCTCCATGGGAGAAAGATGAGGTAGTCTTCTGTAAAGATTGACAGCCTTGGCAACTCTATGGGGCAGTTCTACTCTGTCCTCTAGGGTCACTATGTATCAGAATTAACTTGATGGCAGTGGGTTTAGTTTTGGGGTTCCTATAATACTGTTTCATAAACTTTCTATGTTGGATACATATTACAATCATAATTAGGAAAAATTCACTTAAATATTGCAAAAAGGGGCACTCTTGGAAAAAAGGAAAATGTAGAAAACATCACTCATGACAACAGAAGTTTCCCAGCTAAAATTCATGAGTCACAAAGTTTTCTCAAGAGCTTCCAGCGATAATTCTAAAGTGATCAAATTAATATGAATATAGTATCTTGGATGCTGTTTCTATTTCTTACCAAAACTATAGTGAGTAAGTCCTTACTCCTCTTGCTGGTATGAAAATAAATGAATCCTAGCAATGAAACACATCAAGTCATCAGAATTAAGTTCAAATATCAAGTACAATGAAAGAAGGGAGAGAACAATCAAGCTGTGACTCTATCACGATTTCCTAGGGGAAGCTGACCTTGCAGTTCCAACACATAAACCATCAAGTTTCCCAAATGAACATTTTATATTTCCCTGGTTCATTATTGGTGTCCCTGGCCAATGCAAACTGTTAATGTGTTCGGCTGCAAGCAGAATGGTTGGAAGTTCGAGCCTACCCAGAGGCACTTCGAAAACAGGCCTGATGATCTACTTCCAAAAAATGAGCCCTTCATAACTCAGCGCAACACAGTTCTACTCGACACGTGTGGGGTCGCCATGAGTCGGTGTCCTCTTGACAACACTGGTTAGTTTACTACCAAATAAACAAGGGGCAGGGGAGGAGAGTTATAGCTTCATGCAAATTTAGACTCAATAAATTCAGGTGTGTAGGAAAGAACAAAGTGGCCACAACGCTGGTAAAACTGTGTCTAACAATGCAGGTGCAGTTACGAAGGTTGGGACTTGCAGCCACCCCATATGTCAGAGTAGAACTGCATTCCACGGGGTTTCCTTTCTTTCTTTCACACTGATTGGTCCGCGGCATCGGTCACAGTCTCCGCAGCATGTCAACACTCTCCCTATTTCCTTCCTGGCTTCCCTGTCCCTCCCTGCCTTCTCCTCTTTGGTTTTGGGCCAGTGTTGCCCTTTTGGTCTCATAGAGTTGATTGTTCTTTTTTTTGTTTCGTCATCTTGGTGAAATCTTACTACAGGCCCTCCTTTGTACACTTGGAGGAAACCAAGTCACAGGTGAACTAAGGTTGAGATTCATTTTTCTCTGGTGATTTCATAACACATTGATTTACTAAAAATCTAGACGTACTTAAAGCCTTGTTAGAACGTAACCCAGGATGCAACTGTGGAGACACCTTAGTCTCAGGAGGAGATCTGCTAGCATTCCACAGTTGTGATGCTGATGTTGCATTCTCAACAGGCTATGAAGGCAGCCGGAGAGAGTTAACGTAATACATACAAACCGAGGACACCTCTTAGCACGTATCTTACGCTTCTTAAAGAAGGAAGAAGTATTTTGGAACACTTACTTGATTATGACTAGCTCAAGATCCAAAAATGTTTTATCCTCATTCACATTTAAATTACTGAACATCTCAATATGCAAATGAAGCCTTTCTCTTCCTATACAGTGGTTTTAATATAGAATTTTATTCCTTTCTAATTGTTTTCCCTCCATCCAAGTTAACATGTGTTTACCCTCTAGTTAGTGGTTTACCCTCCCTTCTCCACCCACCCTGGTAACCATCAAAGAATATTTCTTTTATGAAACTCTTTTCTTGACTTTTTACAATAGTGGTCTCATACAATATTGACTGACTCCACTCAGCAGAATGGCCTCTAAGTTCGTTCACGGTATGAGATGTTGCACAGGTCTGTCATTGTTCTTTAACACTGTGCTTTACTCCTCTGTGTCTATGTACCACATTCACAGGGTTTGCAATGGCTGATCTTTCAAGAGCCTTTCTTCGGAGGAGATTCTGAGTGGACTGGAACCCCCAACCTTCTGCTTAGCAGACAAGCACAGTAACCATTCGCACCACCCCAGGGGCTCCAAAACCAAAAGAAACCCACTGCCGCCAAGTCAGATCCAACTGACAGTGACCCCTCCTTGGGTTTCTGAGGCGGTATCACTACAGAAGTAGATTGCCCAACCTTCCTTCCAAGGAGAGGCTGGTGGGTTTGAACCGCCAGCCTTCTGATTAACAGTTAAATGCCTTAGACACTACACTGCCAGAGCTTCCAGGGGCCCCAAAAGGGAAGAAAAATACGTGTTCTCACAACACTCTAAAGATGCTTTTCTCGCAAAAGTAACCTCTCCTCAACAATCCTTGCTGGTGTTCTGGGAGAGCATGTTTCATTTGTTCAATGTTTATTAACTGCCCACCATGAACTGAAGATCAGCTAGAGGCGGGGAAATCTGAGATGAAAGAGAGAGAAGCACTTGAGACGAAGTCCTTAAGCATCAATATGGGTAATTCTAGCTTGCTGTCTCTCGCCACCTACTGGTCAAACAGTATTCAATTCAAAACAATAAAATCTGAACTTCCCTCTCCTGAATACAGTCTTAGTGAGGACTGAGGTGCTCCTGACCCAAGCCACGATGTTTTTTTCGATCGCCTCATATGCATGTGAAAGCTAGGCCATAGATAAGGAAGACTGAAGAAGAATTAATGCATTTGAATTATGATGTTGGTGAAGAATATTGAATATACCACAGACTGACAGAAACAAAACACGTCTGTCTTAGAAGAAGTACAGCCAGAACGTTCCTTAGAAGCAAGGATGAGAAGACTTCATCTCCCTTACTTTGGACATGTCAGAAGGGACCAGTCCCTGGTGAAGGATATCCTGCTTGGTAAAGCAGAGAGAGGGTCAGTGAAAAAGCGGCAGACCCTCAACGAGGCGGAGTGACACAGTGGCTGTTGTTGAGGCTGGTGCTGGACCGGGCAGTGTTTCGTTCTTTTGTACACAGGGTCGCTATGAGTCAGAATGGACGCGACAGCCCATAACAACAATACAGTCTCTGCTTTGGAGAAACCCAGGTGCTTTTATAACACCACTCACCTGGACCCTACATTTGCTGCACAAATATGAGTATCAAAAAATGCGACATCTGAGAAAACTCTGTTCTGTTGGTAGGAGCCTGCATCACACATGCATATAAACAAACGCCAGGATTAGTCAGAGGTTTCCAGATGCAAACAGGGGAGCCCCTTCCGGTACCACACATATTTAATGTGCCTGTGAAGGAGGTAAGATGCACATGTAATCTTATGCTGTGTTTTTCTTAGGTGCCATTGACTTGACTCTGACTCAGTGACCCCCTGTGACAGAGTAGAACTGCCCAGAGGGTTTCCTAGGCTGAAATCTTTACAGGAGCAGGTCACCACATCCTTCTCCCCATGGGTCTTACCCATGACCATTTGGTTAGCAGCCGAGGGCTTAGCCGGAGATCCTTATCATTTATGAGAGAACTAAAAACCTGTTTCTTCTGCTTTGCTTTCATTACATGAACCACACGCCCAAATCACACCTTGACTCTAAAGACTCTGTGCATTTTAATCACGTAACAGTTTATTAGAAAACCATTTCTTTTTTGCCTAGGAGCACTAAGCATTTGTTGTGTGTGTGGGTGTGGTGTGTGTGAAGAATCCATGTACCATTATATGGAAAAACAGTCCACCATGCCAACACATCTGTATCCTTGTACTAAACCACTAATATCCCAAACTCGGGGGTGGGGGCATTTCAAAACGGGGGCTTAAGAGGCTGGGAAGTACCATCTCCTGCACAGATTTAATGAAATAGAAAAAAAAACCCACCCTTAATTCTAGTTGGGAAATGAGTTGGAAACGAATGTATTCATGACTAGTCACTGCATTTCATTTCTTTCTAACCCGTCATCAAAGTATGTTGGTGGCATTCAAGAACCTACACATATAACATGGCCATTCAGAGGTGGTCTCAAAGCTATGACAGTGTTAAAAAAATTAGACTAAGCAATACAAAATTACAATTTGTTTCTCCCGGAGGTCCACAACATTCCTTAAAAACATGTAGAGCCAACCTCTGACAATTCTACTCAGGGTGTCTTTGCTCGGCTCTGCTTCGCGCCCATTCCTGTTTCTTTTCAAGCGCTAGTCTGGTATGGAGTCGGCTGGACAGAGCAGAGCAGGGTGGGCCGCCCCTTGAATGATGGAGTAAGTCTGCTTGGGGAGCTCTTGCTGGGAAGAGGAGGAGAATATAGGGGGCGCTGTGGTGGCCACAGCAATGCTCTGACCCCCATCGCTCACCACCGTCACTTCCGCTGCCCCCTCCTGGATCAGAGCGTTAAGGCCTTCAAAGTCCGTGCAAGTAATGCCCGAGCTGGTGATGAAAGTCTGGTTGCCGGAACCTTCCGGGGCGCCGCCGGGGGCTGCGGGGATCAGAGTCTGGTGCAGCGCGGCTCCTTCCGCCTGCTCGTGCGTGGTCAGCAGCACAGTCGGCTGGGCCATGGCTGCCGCCTCGCTCGGACACCCCGAGGCCTGAGGAGGGGCGATCAGGCTGACCTGGCGCAGGATCTGCAGCCGGCTGTTCCCCGGGAGGTCCTCTGCGCTCTGAGCCACCAGGGCGGGGGGCACGATGTTCACTGCGGTGGCGGCGGCGGCGGCCTGGACGATGGTGTTGGTCTGGGGCAGCTGATGCCCCACGATGATTTTGACTCTCCCGTCGCTGAACGGGGGCACCGGGTTGGGCTGGAGAGGCACCTGGAGATGGCCTACGGCGATGGGCGCGGCGGGCTGCTTGCCTGGCTCGATCTGGAACTGCAGCACCGTCACATCCGGGTTCTTGTTCTCACTGTATTCACTGTGCTGCCTCTTGTGGCTGCGGAGCGAATCCTCCCGCATGAACGAGGCGTCGCATATATCACAGTGAAAAGTCTTCTTGGCGTCCAGCTTGGCCACCTGGCGGCTGCTCTGTCTGGCCGTGTCCTTCCTCTCCAAGGCCTCGGTCTTGACCATGTCCCCGTGGAACTTCTTCATGTGCTTGCTCAGGTTGCTGGGCTGCTTGGTGTCGAAGCTGCAGTAGCTGCACTTGAAGGGGCGGTCGGTACAATGGATGCGCTCGTGCACGCGCAGGGCCGCCTTGCTGGAGCACGAGTAGCTGCACTCGGAGCACTTCTCCGGGTGCTCCGACTGGTGCACCCGGCTGTGTTTCCGCAGCGTGGCCTTGCTGTCGCCCAGGAAGTCGCAGTGCGGACACTTGAAGTTGTTCCCACTGTGCTTGATGCGGATGTGCGACTTGAGGTTCCCTTTCATGGTGCATCGGACATTGCAGAACTCACATTTGAAAGGCTTCTCCCCCGAGTGCACGCGCATGTGCCTTTTCAAGTCCGAGCTGATTTTGAACTTGGCGCTACAGAGCCAGCACTGGAAGGGGGCATCCCCTGTCAACACAAGGTGAGTTTCGATAAGAACAGGCAGGCAACAACCACAGCGGATCCCCCCGAAGCACACACACCAGAAAATGGCTTAAACCAAGGCAGGCGGGTGGAGGCCTTCTAACTTCAGTCTGGGAGAAGGGGGTTAAAAAAAAAAGTGGGGTGAGGGGCCTCTCTTCTCCCCCAAACCTAACCCACCACCACGTGCTTTGACCGTACCACCAAAGTGATACAACCCAGAAGATAAAAATGAGAGACTGAAAAGAGCTATGTCACTGTCCCAAATAAAGTACGATCTGCAAATATACTTAGTATATTCTTGCCAAACGATCAAGCTACCGCTCCTAGCGTTCACGTGCCCACTCAGCTAGTGAACGGTTCACAGGTACATAATTATCATCCGTCGATTCTGATTGAGTTACGTGTTGTCACGGAGTCAAGGAAACATGTTCAAGTCACTCTGCTCTGTTCTGCACTCCACAGTGTATGCACTTTAAAAAGACTGAAACACTTAGCTTATACTTCATGCAGATCTTTATAAATAAAGATGTGTTTATTGCACAGTGTTTATTTACCCTGCATTGGCAGCTGCTGCTTTACTTGTAAAGTCATAAAATCCAGCTGCTTGATTTGAAAAAAAAAGAAGAAATTCAGATTCACTGTAAGATGAGGAGGGCAAGAGAAATTGCACACATCTGAGTGGATGTTGAGATCCCAAGTTCATTTTCTTAATGAATGGTAAGTCTACTTGATCTAAGGCATGGATATTTCAAGCAAATTAGTGACCTTGCCTATTCCAAAAATGGTTTGAGTGAGTAAAATAACAGCAGCTGACGTTCTCCAGTGGCTTCTTGGATGGCGTACGCCATCTACACTAAGCATGTCATGATGTCCCCATGAGGTAGGTACTATGATTACTACTATTATCAACACTATTGTACAAATGAGATGGAGACCTAGAGATACCGTGAAACTTGTTCAGTCACCCGCAATACACGGCAGAGCTTGGATTCCAATCCAGGCTTGACTCCAAAGCCAGTCTTCTTAACTCCTAGATAAATTATCTGTACAGGCAACTCACGTTGGCTTTCCTAGGCTAGAAGCTCAAAAGAACAGAGATTGTGTTCCAGCTTCTTGGGATAGGGCTATGACATCAGCACGTGCTAGCTTAATAAATGCAATTAAATGCAATCAAATTAATAAATGTAGTTAAAGATTGCAAGGAGTAATTGAACAAACTCTTATAAATTGAGAAACCTGCACCTAAACACTGCTTTGTTTGACTAAGAACCACAAAGATTATGCACACTACACTTCAGAACAGGGACCGATAAGCTATAGCCCACAGGCCAAACCTGGCCCTCTTCCTGTGTTTGTAAATGAAGCTTTGTTAGAACACAGGCACACCCATTTGTTTATGTATTGTCTATGGCTGCTTTCATGCCACAGTGACAGAGTTGAGGAGCTGAGACAGAGACTGTATGGCCCACAAAGCCTAAGATACTTACTATCTGGCCCTTTATAGAAAAAATCTGCTGAGCCCTGCTCTGGAATGCTGATGTTAACCTTTTTCAGTCATGGACCCCTTTTGGATAGTTCAGTGAATACTGTGGGCCCCTTCTCAAAACCAAAGAAACCAATTATCTTGAAACAGAAATCAAAATATTAAAAGAACAAAAATTATGGTATGGCAACACATGTTCTTCATTAACGCATTAAATAACAAATCAGGCGGCGGGTCCATCTATTCTATTCTAAGTAGGGAATGATGTAAAAGGCATTCTGATCTGTCAGGAACAACCGTGATGTTTATGAAAATATTTGTGATTTCTACTGATGGCAAGGCCACACACACTGTTACCAGATTTCTTGCCTAGTTTCATAATTGCAGGACATGCCAAATTTCAGTAAAGATTAGTGCAAGTAATGAATATGTACCTTTTTGCCCATCCACCTTAGCTACCTAGTGCCGCTCTAACAGAAATAGCACAAGTGGTGCTTTAACAAACACAAATGTGTCCTCTCCCAGCTTAGGAGGCTAGAAATCCAAATTCAGGGCATCAGCACTAGGGGAAAGCTTTCTCTCTGTCATCTCTTTTCTCTGTCTGTCCTTTATTGTGGGCCCTGAGTTCCTTGGAGGTCTCCATGTGTCTTGGCATCATCTTCCCCTGGGTCTAGGAGGTTCTCAGCAGAGGGACCTTGGGTCCAAAGGACACACTCTGCTTCAGTTCTTCTCCCTTGGTGGTACTGAGGTCTCTCCTCTATTCTTGCTTCTCTCTCCTTTTATTTCTGATAAAAGGCGATGAAGACCATACCCCAAGGTAACTCCCTTTACATTGGAGCATGGCTGTGACTTGAGGAAGGATGGTGTATCCCACCCCACTCCCTTGACCACTGACTGGGTGATCATATCAGATCACATCATGGGGATGATTACATTGTTATGTAACTGCCAAACCACTGAGAATCATGGCTTAGCCAAGTCGGCACATACTTTGAGGGGACACAATTCATTCCACGACACCATCCAAGTTATGGACCTTCTAAACTCTATTCATGAACCCTTGAAGGGAGATGTCTATGGACCCAGATTAAGAATTCCTGCTTCCAAATGGTCTGTTAGGTTATTTAGTTACATTCCTGCCCAAGTTATAGAGATGGGTTTTACATTTCTTTAGCAACCAGAAGAGGTGAACCTCAGAAAAGCCAGATAACCAATCTCACAGCTGAGTTGCAGAATTTAACCACACTTCTTGACATGACAGCAAAGGATTTAAATCCCTTCTTTTCTTTGCTTTGACCTTGGATTTATTTCTTAAATGAGGCACCCTACTCAGTAAATGGGAGCTCTGGTGGCGTAGTGCCTAAGGCATTTGACTGCTAACCAGAAGGCTGGTAGTTCAAACCTACCAGCCACTCCTTGGAAGGAAGATTGAGCAATCTACTTCCATAGAGATACCACCTCAGAAACCCAAGGAGGGGTCACTATGAGTTGGAACTGACCTGATGGCTGTGAGTTTGGTGTTTTTTATTTATTTATTTTTTTAAACAGTAAACAGTTCTAGAGATAAGCTCTCTGAAGCTAATGACTATGCTTGTTCCTATCCACCACTTGCTCCCCAGTGTCTGGTACACAGCAGACATTTAATGTTTGTTGAGTGAATAAGTGACTGATAAATTAAAGCTGAAAGATCTTTCTTGAGTATAGGCTGCAACCAAGACAAATGATGATACAGTCAATGACATCAGTGGAAAGATAAAAACAAAACCCTATTAATTTCAAATTTTACAAATGCCACGGATTTACAAAAGGGAAATAGAATACTCCATGGATATAATGCATACATGGCACACACATATATTTTCAGGAAACACACCTTTTCTGGACTAATTGAAAGATGCTATAAATGGGAAATTCATCTTCCAAGTCATAGTGATTCTGAACTATTTTCATAAATGAATCCATCGGCTCCTTTAACTGAAGCTGGGAAAGACTGCCAAAGAAAATCAATTGGACACGATTATGCCAGAATCTTAACTTGTTGTGGTGGATTAAGAAAATGGGCCCAAATCTCTTCCGCCTCTGCTGTGCTGTGCTATTCTGAATGCTCTCCCAACAGGGGCAGGTAGGATTGTCACGACTCTCGGCACTAGGCCCTACTACATCATCTACTTTGGCCAACAACACAACGCAACGCACTGCCATCAAGTCAGATCCAACTCATAGCAACCCTTCCTTGGGTTTCCGAAGCAGTATTGCTATGGAAGTAGATTGCCCAGCCTTCCTTCCGAGAAGTAGCTGGAGGGTTTGAACTGCTGGCCTTCTGGTTAGTGTCAAATGCCTTAGGCACTGAGCCACCAGAGCTCCTGTGCTTTGGCCAAGGAGGTGTTAAATGACATGAGATGGGCCTCAGGGCTTGCTTGTTTGTACCTCCCCCAGTGCCACGAGAAGGCCAAGCCTGGCTGAGCCAACCGGTCTCAACAGGAAGACGAGAGAGATGGGGAGTGAGCTGGATTGCCCCAGCCAAGGCCAGTGGACAGCCAGCCCACAGCCAGCAGCCCTCCAGACATGTAAGTGAGCCCAGCCCTGATCCACAGAACTCCTAGCCAATACCCAGCTGACCCCCAACACATGAACAAAAAAGGCTTACTGCTGTATGCCACTGAGGTTTTTGCTTTTTGTTACTGCATTATTTTGATGATAACAGTTCTCAGATGTTGGTACCTAGAAATAGGGTGCTATCATACAGAAGCACCCCTGGGTGGCACAAGTAGTTAAGCACTCAGCTGCTAAACAAGTTGGAGATTTGAGCCCATCCACCCAGAGACACCTTGGAAGAAAGACCTGGCGATCTATTTCTGAAAACCCACACACTGAAAACCCTGTGGAGCACGAGTCTACCCTGACGCTCACGGGGTCACCATGAGTCGGGTTTGTTTTTGTACAACAGAAACCCAAAATATGTTGCATTGGCTTTGGGACTGGGTAGCAGGCAGAGGCTAGAAAAGTAGTAAATCACATTATTTACACAACTTTTGGTAAAGTAGTCATCTGCGGTAACTTAGAGGCTAGAAAATGCACGTGAAGAGCTTTTGGGCTTCAGCACAGAGATTTGTTCCAGTGTTTTCCACACTGAGTGTGACAAGGCCCTACAAGAAACAGACAAGCCCAGGAGTCCGATAGAGCCTGGTGAAACCCTGAGACTACAGCCCCTAGCTGCCCTTCAGGTCTGGAATTGAACCTACTCCTGTGGCTTCCAGCCAAACAAAAGACAGGCATATGAGCTGAACATTTACCTGAGGTAGATACACTCCTTGGAGAGAACCATCATGGGAGAAAATAAGGGCTGTGTATGCACACAGTGATAGCTCAGGGGGCAGGAGTGTATGGTGGGATGGACACTAGGAAGAGGTAACTATCGGGAGGAAGTGGGAGGGGAGCTGTTGCATTGGGGTAAATTGTAGTCAATGTCATGAGACAAAGTGCATGTGAACTGCTGTATGGAAAGTGAATTTGCTCTTTAAACTTTCACCCAAATCACAATTTAAAAAAAAAGAAAAAGAAAGAAAGAAAGAAACAGACAAGCTCAGGAAAGAAGCCACCATTTTCTAAGCAGAATTTAGAGGGAATATAGGAAATCCCAGACTTGCTAGGTTGGCAAAGTTCCTCATCTCTGGCCAGAAAAAGATTTTCAAAGTAAGATAAAGCCTGTGGATAAAGATCATATCCAGGCAGTGGATTTTAGTGTGAAAACCAAATGAAGGATGTGAATATAAGATGCTTTGTTAAAGTCTCTAAAAGAATCCAATTGGTGCTGGGTCACTTTTCTCAGCTGCACAAAAAGAAATCTCAAGGAAGTCAAGCCGCAGAAGCGTGATGTGCCGAGAGTGTCCACGGTTGAGTTAGAGAGAGAGCAAGTCTTTATAAGAATTGGGGGTGTGGCTTTTGGCACAAGGCCATACAGGAAACTCCCCAAATTTTAAGACAGTTCTACTGGTAAAAGTACTGCCAGCCTAGACGAAATCAAGATGTAAAAAGACGCCAAGCTTCCCGTAGGCAGGAAGAGGCTGAGAAAGTTACTCCAAGGACACATTTTCTCATTCTCTTTAGGAGTTAAGGAAGGTGACAGGAAGGAGTTCCAGGGAACAGTCAAGAGCCAGGGAGCTGATCCAAAGCCTAAGCGAGAAACACTTCCTGTCCCCAGTGGGATTTCAGATATGCTGTGGACCAGTGACACCAAGTGCCTCCCAGTCCCTCCCCTCCGAATGGCAGGATTATCACCATTATCACAGTGCTGCTTGACCAGTGCATGATGGGTGTGTCAGGGCAGACAACTTGCTTTTCATTTCAAAGGTCTCTAGACCTAGAGGAGCCATATCCTAACCTTGACAAAGATCACAAGACACTTGTCTTCACTGACCCTCTGACTGGATGAAGCTTGGGGGTCTTGAGAAGGGATGAGTGCCGTTTGCATGTGGGAGATGTGAACAATGGTGGGTATGAAGGTAGACTCTGGTCATTTACAAACATGGCCCCAGTTCTTTCCCTCCCCCTTTTCTGGCTTTTGCTGTGTAACCTTGTGGTGACTATCCACGGTGGATGAGTTCAACCCCACCAGGTCCACCTGCGCGACTTGCTTTAACCCATGGAATGTTTTCAGACTTGATGCAGACCAAGGCTTGCAAAGGGCTTAGACACTGTGGCTTGCGCCTCTGCCATCACCATGAGAGAGAGAAGCCCACTGGTCCCAGTAGAAGGATGAAAACTACGCAAAGCAGAGCCCAGTTGCCCCAGCAGACATCCAGCCTACGCCATCCATGTGATTAAACCCAGCCAAGATCAACAGAGTTGTGTAGCCAATTCCAGCTGACTTCAGGTATAGAGGCAATAAATGCTTCTTGTTACAAGCCACTGAGGCTCTGTGGCTGTTGTCACACAGCGTCATCATGTCAACAGCTAACCAATACACTCAGCAAAAGGAAAGTGCGTAACTTGTTGAGGGCCCTACTCTGCTGACTTTTCTATGTACTTCTCAGTCGAGCTGTCCCATGCTGGACTAAATCAGAGTTACTTTAGCCCATACATTATGTAGAAATTGATTAAAGATGTATTGTTTATATCTCTATTTCGTTTAACACCCTTCCTCAATTATATAATTTACTAACGAACAAGTTATAAAGTTGTATGTAAAGATATATATACATATATTTAGAAATTGGAACCCACCCCTATTTTACTCATAAAGGCTTGTCTGGGCAGATGAAAGGCAAATCTGTGAACACTGGGATGGCTACACATCCCCAGTTCACTTACTTCCACGGTGACTGAATTCTTTCAGGTGCTCTGATGATGTGTTTATGATTCGAGCAATAGGAAGGTAGGATCATCGAGAGAACCATCTGCTGGACTTACCCGTGTGGGAGCGGAGGTGGACGGTGAGCTGGCTGGAGTTGCGGCTGGCGTAGGGGCAGATCTGGCACTTGAAGGGCCGCTCGTCGGAATGGATCCGCAGGTGCTTGTTAAGGCTGCTGCTGTCGGCCGCAGCGTAGTCACACGTTTTGCACTTGTAGGGCTTAACACCGGTGTGGCATCGCATGTGCGTCTTCAGTTTATCCTTCCGGCTGAAGCACTTGCCACAGACTTCACACTTATGGGGTTTGTCTCCTTCAAAAAGACACACAGATGGCATCAGGAAACCAGGTTAAAAAGAAAGAAGCTCATTTTCCATCCCTCTTATGAAAAAGGAGCTCTGGTTGTGTAGTGCCTAAGGTATTTGACTGCTAACCAGAAGGTTGGCAGTTCAAACACACCAGGCATTCTGCGGAAGGAAGACTGGGTGATCTACTTCTGTAAAGATTTACCGCCTCAGAAACCCAATGTGGGTCACTATGAGTTGGAATCTACTTGATGGCTGTGAGTTTGGTTTTTTTGAGTTTTTTCTTATGTAAAAAGTAATAGAGTCACCCCAGAATGTTTAGACAACTCAAAACAAGCTGCATAATGAATGGCAATCAGCTAACATCTTAGGAGAGGTGCATTTTCTTCTTCTATTTTGTTTATCGGTATTTTCTAACCTTTTCCTACAGTGAACATGAGTTTTCTATTATTTAAAAATAGAAGGCAACTAAAGTAAAATGTTCAGGGGCGGCTGAGAAAATGAGAAACTGCTCACTGTCCCTTGTAGCCATTCTCCCCTTCTGCCTCTGAACAACACAGCCCACTCCAAAGTCTAGAATCCCTGAGTTGTAGCAGATCTCATGGCTGATCCAGGAAGCCCTGGTAGTGTAGGTGGTGAAGCCCTCAGCTGCTGACTGAGAGGCTGGCCGTCTGAACCCACCCAGCAGCTCCGTAGGAGAAAGGGCTAGAGCAAAGATTACAGCCAAGAAAACTCTATGGGGCAGTTCTACTCTGTCACGTGAACTCACCATGAGTCAGAATCAACTAGACTGAACTTACAACAGCAATGATGGCTGACAAGCTAAACCCCATGTCTCCCAGTCTCCCTTGCAGCTAGGTGTGAATTTGTGACTAAGTTCTTGCCAACAAACAGGCAAGAAGTAGGTGTGTCACTTCTGTCAGAGGAAACTGCCTTTTACTTTGTCTCTTTTTCCTCTCCTTGCTCACCATAACCAGAACCTGGGGGTGAGCCATCAGGTGAGGGCGGGACCCCCCACAGGCAGGGAGAAGCGTAATCTAAGGAAATGTAATGTTCCACAATGCAGTGCAACTCAGTGTCATGTAACAAGACAGAAGGAACTTAAGGCCCCATATGACCTCATAGGGCAGAGCCGCCTATGCGCCCTAAACTACCTGCTTACTGCTAGACAGTTACGTGAAAGAGAAATAACCTGTACCTTGTCTGACCCCGTGGTTGGGCTTCACTGTTATAGCAGTTCAATCGGTCCTCATCACATACATGCCAACCTGCCACCCACAAACTGATTATTCTATGTACACTTTTCTAATCTCTTTTATATGTGTGTGTATGTGGTTTTTTTTTTTGGTACAAAAAACCTCTTGTCTAACACCAATGTCAACACTTACTTTTTGAAAGGCATTGGGCCTTCGAATGAATTTATTAAAGCAGCTGGGACTACAACCAGGAATGTCTTGTCTACTCAGCCACAGGGCCACCTACTTCTCCACTACCTTCTTCCTTACATGTGAAATGGTGTCAATGATGTTTTCACATCCTTATATATCCCAGACGGGACAGCATTTCACTGTAGGGAGCTGCTATCAATGACTGAACCAACCCCTTCCTTGGCCACTGAAAAGAATGAAGCATACACAAAACATTGTTCCATCTCCTACTTTGGCGAGTAGCGACTGGGACCTTAAAAACTTGCAAGCTGCCATCTAGATGCAACAATGGGTCTCTCCTCATCCAGAGCAAAGAAGAATGAAAAAAAAAAACAAAAATTCATGGAAACAATTAGTCCTAGCGACTGGTACACCATCCCATCTGCAGCCTATACGAATATGAGACCAGAAGAACTAGATGGTGCCCGGCTAATACTGTCAACCACTTGGAAGGGGATCTATGTAGGAGATCCTGGATGGAGAAGGAAAACAATGTGGAACAAAACT